CATGTATTTATTATTTCAGTCAAAGTCACAGTGTAAAGGCAAGTGAACAAAGTGCCACATGTTACGCTGTTCTCTGTCTCATCATGTCTTAGAACAATTAGTTTTTGATATCTTTAGAAATTATTCCAGACTTCTTGAGGAAAGGGGATGGAGTACATAAAACCATGGGGACACATTTTTGAAGATGCAAAGCTTCAAACAGTAGGACATCCAACAGAAGCTGACAGATCAATCTTTATAACAATTTGCAACAAAGCAACCTCCTCCTAGTTCAATAACCAGCTTCAGAGGACTCACACTGCATGTGTAGATGGGATAAGAAAAATGGAAACAAATCTTCAAGAGAATTGTCCAGAGATTTTCTGGCTTGCTTTCACAGGATGCATGAGCTTCTGGTAAAACCATTTAACTGATTGGAAACTCAAAAGAAATGAACAGATAGGCAGAAATGGCTCAAAAGTGAGTGTTTAGATATCTATGACAACACAAAGTCATAGGTATTTAACTGGAATGGAAAAAGAGATCTAGATCAATGCTTATCCAGAAGTAGGTACCTTGTTGAAACTTTAAGGACCATCTGAAAAACTCCTTGGTTTAACTTTAGATAAAAAGCATGCAAAAAAATTAGCATGCTTTGTCCTAGATGAAATATGTTTAATGAGTTATAATTACAATTCATTAGACTAAAGCATTCTGAAAATGAAGAAACCCCTGTGAAGTACCATTTCTATAGAAAAATACTCACAGGGCATTTACTATTTCAGGATTATTAACCTTCAGCCTAGTGGTTACAATGATCAGAGTAAAATTTTAGTAACTTCACTTTTGAGATTACTCACAGGAGGCACTGTCAGAGAAGCTAGACTATCTCAAAGAGCTGAGTATGGGAAATAGTGTTGTTTTATCAGTTGAATAGAAAAAGAAATTCTAGTTTTGATCCTGATCACAGGTCAATTAGAAATTTATAATGTTCATAAAACATTCAAATAGTGTTCACGATCTTCAAAAAATTAATGTATTACCTGCAGTTTATTCTACCTCATATTCTTTAATATATATTTTTTAGAAAATTACTACATTGCCCTCCAATTAACCTTCTCATCCTTCCCACCCCACAACTGTTACACTAAATGCAGTCTCCTATTTCAGAGTATTTAGAAGACAATCATAAGCTACTTCCAATGATTTTGAATGCTAAGAGATGACTTCTGGCCCTTGCAGTTGAAAACGTGTGTATACCTCCTCCCCAACACTACCAGATTAGCACTAAAGGAGGTTATTTACACTCCAGTAAGATAAATGTCACAAACTGGAGAAAACCTGCTGCTTTTTTTGGAAAAGAGCAAAATCTGGTAGCTGATAGAACTTGCTTTCTGCCTATGCAAGGCGCATCCCACTGCAATTACTGTGAAAGGCTCTATGAGACTGCATGAGTCTTTGGATGCAGTTTCTATTCATTTTTCAGTACCTCTGCATCTCTCAAATGGCATGACTGCCTTCCCACTCTGAGGAAGAAGAATCTATTTTAAGCAGAAGTCACAGCTTTGTAAATATCAATACAAGCTGAGAGAACAGTTGCATTAAAACAAACCCATAAGAATGCACTAACCTGCTACTTTCAAAACAACATCTGGTCACATCTTAAAGCAAAATCAATAGCAAGTATAAATTATAAAGCATCTGAAAAGATAGTATCACTATTAATTTTAAAATAAAAATTTATGTTAGGTAAAGAACAATTGCAATTTATTCAAAGATTTTCCACTGGAAAGGCTAGAACATTAGTATCTTTATAACAAAGGTTATAAAAATAACTTCATTTTTACATGCATGCCCTTCATCACTAAATCCAAAACTTTTTTTTTGTGCTTTTAATGCAACAGTCTGACTTTGATTTTGACTCCCCCAGAAGCAAGGTAGGATGCTTTATTGTTAGAATTTCTATTGTGCTTCTGGGCTGCACTTTCACTGCACCTAATTTAAGCTCCAATCTAGCAAACATGCTTACACATATGCTCACAAAGACAATAGATGTACTATGCACTGACTATTCAAATACTAACTATGTACTTCACTGCTTTGCTGAGAAAGATCCAAAATAAGCTGTGTACTAGTACCTGTAAATTACTGTTTCATCTTACGGAATTTCTAAAAAATTGTATCTGTACTTAAATACAGATTATTCTCATCACAGACACATTTCAAGCAAATATAAAGGTAGGTTATGCTCTATTAATATCCAGCAGAAGAAGATCCAAAGTTTGCTGCTTAAGGCAGAGACTAGAATTGTTTTCCCAAAGGTGGAAATTTTCATTTTAATAGAAAAAAAAAAAAAAAAAAGAAATCATTCTGTGCCTGAAGAAGTTTAGTCAATTCCTTCAAAAAGCTTCAGATTAATCAAAACTGTTCCTAAGAAAAATAATTCTTTCAAAAGTAATTCCCAAAGAATCTAATCATGTGGAGTATCAATGTTGCAGAACCAGATTAAATAACAGAAAGTGTTACGGTTACATTAATTCACTTGCTTTAGTGGGTATTTAGTCATGTTTCCTTGTAACATAATCTCTGAGCAGTTGAGATTTATTTGCACAAATATTTACAAATTCATGTTTTGTCTTGTACTGTAAATCTACCATGTACTATTTATGTCAGAGGCATTTGTTCATCTGTCCAAATAAAAAAATAAAAACATTCTGGTGCTGTATGCTTTTTGTATTTCTAGCTGTTGCTTTGTCTGTGTGTATGCACTGCTGTATTAGTTGAACTCCCACATGTATATTGTTACTGCAAATAACATCCTTTCATGGAATAACTAACATGAAAAGGTCCCCAGTTATTCCATTAAGAGTTTCCACTCAGAAAGGTACACTGGTATAGCTATTGCTGCATAAATAATTGTGGCACATTTTCAGATGCCAACAAACCCTGAAACAGTAAAATCTATGTCACAAAAAGTAATGAAATAAGGTGCAGCTCATTCAACCAACTACAAGTAAGTAAATGATGCAAGTTTAAAATATATCTGTTCATTTATTGGGGGAAAGTATTTGAAAAAATACTCCTGTAAAATATGTCACTGATAATAGGTGAATTCAAGGAGAGGATGAGCATTTAGGAATATTCTGTGATGGAGCAATGCTCAAAAGACATAAATTACTGGCTGAACTTTGTTGAACACATGAATTATGCTGCAAAGTAGTGACACTAGGGCAGAGTAAAATAAAGCAGTCAGAAGTGACTAAACCCAACACATTTAAATGAATACAAAAGCAAACAAGCAATGTCATCTGGCACTCCAAAAGGCAATGGCTTCTGAGGAACTGAATATAGAATCTGTAGGCTTTTGTAAAACTACTGAAATTTCAGCTGGTAACAGAAGTCTGCAGTGGAGCCCATGTGGCTTGCTTATATATTCCATTTCCCTCCTTTTATCCATTTTCAGCTGATGTATCTGGTTAGCTTGGCCAGCTCACAGTTACAAGCTTTCACAAAAATGGCAGCGATGTTCAAAATGCAAAGAGGAAGTCCGCATCTTCATGAGACACTCCACGGGGTGCAACAGGAATGATGATTTTACAATGCACAACCACAGCAAAATTGTCTTGAACATTACACCAACGTATTTGTATATGCCTCTAACCTCCACATAATTTGTATACTTAAACCAATTCCATAAAAGGAAAAAGGGGTGCTTTTTTACTTTCCTGTGTAAAAAAAAAATTCCTTTTGTAACTGACATTTCTGTTGAACAGCTGCAATAGATTTCTATTAAGATACTTTCCATGAGAATTTCAGCACTTACAGATCTCTCAAGAAATGGATAGTTGAAGGCTAATGCTTAATAATTATAATATATACTCCTCATAGGCGTGTTAGTATTCTACAGTTCTTTCCCAAACTCTTCCTTTCTCTGTTTCACAGTGTTTTTTCTCATCTCAGTCATGCTTCCTGCCCATTCCACTACTACCTTCATGTTAGAAGCTCTCTTTTGCTTCTTTCTCTGTTCAGTGACGGTCTTAGCCATTTTCTCTCCCTTACATTCCTACTTTCGGCTTTGTTCTCTGTCCTTTCATTTATTACTCTCCACTGTACCCTAATAATTTATATTGCTGTTGGTTAGTGTTGTAAACAGTGTTCAATCCTTCCTTGCTACCTTTTCTTTGTTCACTTTCCC